AACCTCCAAATCCAGACCCCCAGGGTCACCTTCTCTACGCTGCCCCTGCATTTTTCCTACAAAAGCCAGCAAAAGCACAACTCAGATGGACAGTCTAGACACGTATCTTCCTTGGGGAGGTTACAGCTGGGGTATACTTTGGGGGAGGGAGGACGTAATGCGGTCTCCACAAGTAGAAGAAACATCCAAGCATCGGTAAGACCTTGCTGGAGCTTCTAGATCGCCTCTTCCTTCCCCCAAACGCTCCTTCTATCAAAATTGCTGTCGTTTTGAAAACGACTAGGCCAGTGGTGTTCCAACAACAAAGACGCTGTCGGGATTCAGCTCCACCGGCTGCGGGTCTGAACAACGGGCGCTCGCTAGGCGCGGGGCCTCGCGGCCTGCAGAGGGCGCACGCAGCTTCCACCGCGTAGCCTGTCCGTCATCCCGGGCAGGTGAGCCCAGGCCGGGCGCAGGAGCCTAGGTCCCTTTGGCAGAGGGCTCAAGGTCACAAGAGAAAGACAGACGTGCCCTGGGCTTTGGAGAGCACAAAAGACGCTCCTTTGCTGCTGCCACACAACTGTGCTACTGTCAACACAGCTTCCTATCCAAGCGGTCAGTTGCAAGACTGCAGGGCTGAGCTCTGTCTCCAAAACACCGTGCCCGAGCCAGGGGGTTGTCTAGGGCTCCTGGGAGCGCTCTCCAAACGCTGCTAAAGCTCTCCAGGCTTAAACTGACCAGATACTCCTGGATAGGCGACGGAGTTTGTCTCTGGCGTGGCGTGGCGTCCTAGCTGCGCTGACACCAAGGTCTCCAAACAAAAGCCATCAGGCTTTCTTCGGGCAGTTACTGGGAACCCTACACACACACACACACACACACACACACACACACACACACACACACACACACATCAGCCTCACAAGCAGGTTCCCCACGCAAGCCCCAGCCCTCGCACATTTATTTTTGAATTTAATTTCTTCCTAGACTCACTGGGTTTGCACTCCCTAGTGGGGATTGCGCAGAGAACTACTATTGTCCCGCACTATCTGAAGAACAGACACGGCTGTGAGAAAGACGTTTGCTTTCTGGCCACTGTCTCCAAGAGTCATACACCTTTTTGGCTTTGAAAAGGGCTTGTGTGTGTGGGTGTGTGGGAACCACCGCAGGCTACCCTAGCGCACTGCCACCATTTGGTCCTGGCGGGCTCTGGGATCAGATCAACTCTGCCAGTCTATGGGCGAGGAGACCATCTCAGGATTTGGGAAGAGGCGCTCCCCTCAGGCAGCCCCCTAGCCTCTGGCTTGGAGGTGGACGTGGTCCGGCGCGCCCTGCCTGCCCTTTGTTTGAGCCGCAGCCGGCTGGGAGCAGCTGCGCAACTCAGAATTCGTGTCTCCGAGATGAGACGCTGAGCGAGCGCATGGCGCCCTCTCCTCCCACTCTGAGGCCCTGGAATCCCTGCCTCCTCTCCCAACCCAGGGGTCTTCGACGAGTGGGAAAGTGCTGTTCCAGGTTCAGCCCGGCATTACACTCCCGCAGGGTACAGTTGAAATGTCACCCGCTGGGATAAATATTAACACAAAGCAAATGGACTTGCTCAGGGGCAGTTATCAATCAGCAAGGCCGCAAGGCCATTCAAGGCAAACACGGTCCAGCTTGGGTCGGGCCAGACTTTCTCAGGGCTGCCTTTCCTCCCTCTGCCCTGGGGCTCAAGCCTTCCTGCAGGTCGTTCTGCGGGCAAATACCAACCAGACAAGAATGGGGGGTTCAGACCTGGAAACTAGATGCTCCGTTGACCACTCCCACCCCCAGCACACGCCACACCAATGCAATTCGGAGGTTTCCTGACTTCCAAGTTGGACACAGTTGGAGTGGCCTTCCACCCACCACTGTCAGAACCTAGGGCTGGGCTGCCACCTCTGGGACCCGCAGTTGCTGTGCCTGCTGCTGGGTGTACACTGTAGGTTCTTCTGCACTGCCAGTTCCCACCATGGAGCCAAAGCCTTCTGGAATATTTAATTGGAAACTAATCTCTATGAGTCTTGATAGGTGCCTGCATCAGAGGTGGAGCACCCAGATGCCTAGCCCAGCATCACCCAGCCCCTTCCCCCACCCCAACTAGGATGGAAGGCACACCAAGCCGAGTCACAGGGTTGTGCATCGCTGTAATAGGGGGAGCAGCCAGGATTACATGGAGGGAACATATGTTTTTTTTTTTTTAAAGGTAGTTAATTTGGTGAGAATCTCCTTTCACCCATCTTCCAATGGCCTGCATTTTCCTGACAGGGAAGCAGCTCCCCAATGCCCTGCTTCGTGCAGAGGGTTTTGGCAGGCTGTGTGGTGGTAAGGAGGGATGGGGAAGACAGGGAGACTGGAGAAGCCATGCTGGTGGAATCTGTGGGAGCACTGGCCTCTATGGAAATCGGTATGAGAAGGGGTGATGGTGGTCTTTGGATGCAGCACTGAGCAATGTTGCAAAGGGTGCCTAACCTGTGGGAGCTGGGGGAAGAGAAAGTGGGCTGGCAGTGATGTTCAAGGTACCCCACAATGCATGCTGAGCGCCCCCCACCCAACTCAGGGACTGCTGCGGGTCATTTGCAGAGCTCAAAAAAACAACTTCACTTTTTTAAAAAAAAATACAATGTTAACAAGAGGGCTTTGTTCATTTGTTTGTTTTTTTGTGACTTAAAAAGAAGGTAGTTTTGTAACTCCAGAAGTCCATAAGAACATCCTGTCCAAAAGGAGGTCCTTATGGACACAGGGTACACTAAGTCCTTGCCCTCAGAGAAATTAGCAAAACACAAAACAGAAAGAGAAGGGTCCCAGTCCCAGTCAGCCAGTGATTAGGGGCCAAGCACTAGTTCTGCTGGAGTCGGATTCCCACCTTTCCAGGCAGAGGCAGTATGGCTCACCATCATGTGCTCCTTGGCTGCCAGGCGCTATGGAAGGGGCCCCTTTGATGACCTCTTGGGTCTTCTGAGCATCTGCCCAGCACCCAGCTCTCAATCAGCATGTGGGCTCTCCCTCCCCCTCCAGCGTGGGCTGCTGGAGCTCGGGTCTCCTAACTGGGAGGCCAGAGGGCACAAGGCCCAGTTCCAGAACCTGCAGCTGTCTTTCTGGGACAGAACGGAAGGCAGAGGGGTCAGGAGGGTCAGCGAGGGTCTCTGCTGGGTGGACAGTGCGGAGTGGACTCTCCTTAGTGGGTCACCTTCACCATCCCCACCTCCTTCCCACACTCCTTGGCGACCTTGGTGATGGCTTGGGTAGAAAGAGCAGAAGGAGCAGCCTCTATGTTCCACTTTCTTCAGAAACAGCACGCCTCCTCTCAGCAGCCTGGGGCATCTGGGTCAGTCCTGGGGGCCCTTGGCCTCTGCGCATCCCTCCACCACCTGCCGCCAGGCGCAGGCGCAGCATTACCACCTTCCTTGTGGCAAATGAGCCCGGGGACTGGGTTTGGGAAGCCTGGCAGGGCACAGGCTCACACAGCCTAGCTCACGCAGCCTACCTCTCGCTCAGAACCAGGGTCGTGTGGAGTGTCCAGGCCCTTGGGGTCGCCCAGGGCTCCAATCATAGGCTCCCTGGCACGAGTCCCCCGACCCCCTTCTTATTGGCAGGCTCGAGGTGGGGGAGGGGGCTGGGGCCTGGTGCTTTGATTTTAGACTGTGAAACGGCTCAGTGCCCCGGGCTCAAAGTGGATTGACTGCTTCTCGTTCTCCAGGGACGAATTAATGGAGAACGATCAGTTAATTAACAAACCCTCATTCTGGCTTTTACCTTTCTTTTTGCAAAGGCTCAGGCCTGGGCACCCAGTGGCAACGAGGGTGGGTTGGGCAGTGGACCCCTGAGTCAATCAACTTGGCAACCTCCAAGCAGGTCTTACAAAACCTACTCCGCCCTCCGTGGCGCTCGGTCCTACCTCCCATTCTGTCCTCTGTCCGCACCGGGTCTCCGAATTCACCTGAAGTCCCGGAGGCTGACTGGATGACCTCAGCTGCTCCCTGGGCCCTAGGGTTCTGCGGGGAGCCTAGAGTGGAGTCTGCGCTGCGCTACGCCCGGGACTGTCTTCCCGCTCAACTCAGCGCTCCAGGCTCGGGTTTCTGGCGCAAGCTCTCTACTGGCTGACTTGGAGGTCCAGTGCGCACTCCCACCCTCCTGCAGGGAGATTCAGTCTCTTTTCGCTCCCCCCGCCCCCGCCACCACCCAATACAAAAAAATCACCACCAGGAATAAAACGAAATACAAGTCCCAAGCGAGCCAACAGCAGCGAAGGAGGTCGGTGTGTTTGGCTGGCAGCTCTCCTACCGCTCTGCCGCCCTGGCCGGACTTCGGCACTGCTTGATTGCTTCTTTTTCGCACATTTCGCCCCACGCCCGGAGTGCGTGCTAACCTTTTACGCCGCGCCCACAACGCACCCCCCCCCCGCCGCTCTCTGGGCTCCCGTAAGCTTTGCCCCAACTTTTCGAGGGTAGTTCCCCGGGGTCTGCCAGTACCCAATGCAAAGAGCTCAGGAGCGAGCTCACTTCCGCGAGTTCAATCAAATTTTGCCGGGCAAACTCCCACACATTTCTGCCCAACATCGGATGGGTGCGAGAAAGTACTGGCCCGCAGCAGTCGTGCGCAGTTGCCTGCACGCGTCGCCTCGCTCTTTCCACACCCCGAGAGTTCCCCGAGAAGCGGCGCTTAGGCCGTGTTCCGCCAGGTGCGAGGCTTTCTCAGAACCCTCCCAGGTGTGCGACCTTTCCGGAGCCATCTCCGAACACACAAATGCGTTCCCGCAGCCCCCGAGGTCGCGCCGCTTTGGCTCTCAGACCCTGGCAGAGCCTAACGCACAGAGCCCTGGAGAAGGCAGGTCGTCGGCAGCCGCGGACTCTCAGCTTCCAGGAAAAGGGGTGGAGTAGGCAGGATGAAACACGACTTTGATTTTTTTCCCCCTCCCTCCTTCGATCCCTCTGGTTTCCTCGCCCCTCTCTCCCCGTTCGTTCGCGGGCACGCGCGCTCGCCCAGCACCTTGGCTGGCTCACCTGCTAGGCGGAGTGCAGACATGCGCTGGAACTCCGGCTCCTGCAGCCATTTCCACATCCTCCGGAAGGTCTCCCGGCCGGACTTGAGTTTGCTCCAGGGTTTGGGGTTGCGCAGCAGGTCCGAGAGGGTCCCCTGGGAGCGGCAGAGCACCCTCTGCGCGAAGATGGCCTGTGGGATGCTGTAGCGCTTGAGCTCGGTGGTGATACGCTGCGCCACCTCTTTGGTATTGATCTCTTCCATCTGCCCTGAATTATTTCCATTGCTGACCTGCGCGCCAGTCACCGAAGGGTTGGGCTCCCGGGCCGTGCCCAGGAGCTGCCCGTGGCTCTGGGCGTTCAGGTGGGCGTGGGGGTGGTGCGGAGGAAGGCCGTTGATGGGCACCATGCCGGCCGAGGTGGGTGTGAGGTGTTGCTCCCCGTGGCGACCGAGCATGGCCGGGTGGTGGGCTTCGAAACCGTTGGGGGTGAGCATCTTGTCGGCGGGCATGGCAGCGCCAGGGTGGGCGTAGTGGGGGAGCCCTTGCTGGGAGTTGTGGATGCCGCCCAGACCGGAGCCGGAGAGGGGCGAGAGGCTCTGGCCCATGCTGGCCACGTCCTTGTGGTAGGGGGTGTAGAGGTTATTCATGGAGGCCAGCCCCCGCTCGTCCCGCATGAGCGTGAAGCTACCGCTCACGTTGCCTGCTAGGCGCTGGTGGTGGTGCGGGTGGTGGTGGTGATGGTGGTGGTGGTGGTGATGGTGGGGGAACTTGTCCGACACGGTGGAGATGGGCGGCAGCGGCTGCAGAGGTGTTAAGGTGGTGTAGGTGGTGGGCATGCTCATACCTGGGGGAGTCTCGCAGGCCATGGTCATGGTGGGGTGCAGGGGGCCGGCCAGGCTGTGCTCGGGGGCCCGGTGGTGGTGGTGGTAGTCGCCGCCGCCACCGCCGCCTCCGCCGCCGTCCAGCAGGGACGCCATGCCCATGGAGCGCGGGTGAGCGGGGGGCAGGTGGCTGCCGCGGTGTGCCACGGAGCTGCGCGCGTGGGGGCTGCCGCCCAGCAGGTCGGCCGGGGCGGGCACCGGCTCATGGCTCACCCCGTGCAGCTCGCCGATCGCCTCCATGGTCAGCTGTGCGTTCATCGTGATCCGGGCGAGCGGGCGGCGGACACAACATCGATGTGGCCGGGGCAGAGGCGGCGAGGAGCGCACGGAGTCCGGTCTTCACATCGGCTGCCGGCGAATGTTGCTTCCTCCCTCCGGCTCGCTGTGCGCTCTGTTGGGTCTCTGTGCGCGCGCGTGTGTATGTGTGTGTGTGTGTGATGTGTGCGTGCGCGTGTGAGCAGCTCGCCTTTCCTCTTGCCCCCACCTTCCCTCGGCGTCCTCGGCTTTTTTTTTTTAATATTAATTTCCAAAAAAAAAAAAAAAAAGTCCGCGCGCCGTTGGGAGAGCGCGGTGTCCCTTCAGCCGGCCAGCCCGTCCGCCCTCGGTCCTCGGTCCCCTTTCTCGCCCCTCTCAGAAGAATCCCGAGGCCCCCGGCTCCCCTGACGCGGCCCGCGCGCCCGCCGCGGCTGCTGCTGCCTGCCCTCGCCGCTCGCCGGCTCGAGCCATGGCTCGCTTCCTATCGCCGACTCTGTGGCCGCGGGTCGCTCGCTGCCCGCCGCCCGCCGCCGGCCCTCGCCGCCGCGGCCCGCCCTCGCGCCCGCCGGGCACACGGCGCAGGCGCGCGCGCCCGGCCCCGCCCCCCGCCCCGCCGCGCGCCCCGGGCCGTGACGTGCCCGCACCGCCGGCGGAGGGGGGCTGCGCGCGGCGAGCGGCCGTGCCGTCGCCCCCTCGTGTCACACACACCCTGCTTGGAGAGCTGGGTGGCGGGGGGTCGGGGGGGGACTTGGGCGCGCACTCCCTCTCGCCCGGCCCTCCCAACTGTATTTCCCTGAGGGTCGGCGCTCCCCCACAGCCTCCCCCGTTCCCGGCCACAGGTACCTCACAGGCCTGCGTCAGCGTGGCGCCTGGTCCTCTGGCCCACCCTGCCTCCTGCCGGCCCTTGGGGGAGACGAGCACTCGGCGCCCAGAGTCCCCGACCCCGGGTTCGGCCTCGACGTCCCGCGCCGCCTCGGTCGGTGTCCTGCTGCGCGCCCGCCGGGCTAGTGACTCGGCGAGGCGCGTGGCGGGCGGGCGCCGCGGGGAGGGAGCGAGCGCCCCGCCGGGTTCCCGCGTGAACTTCCGGATGTCCACGGTCCTCCTGCTGGAGCACCCGGAGACCGCTGCCTGGCCAGGGCTGAGGGAGAGCGAGGGCGGACGCGGGCACTCGTCCCCGAGAGAAGACGTGTCCAGATACGAAAGTCAATTTTGGTTCCCAGTTACACTCCAATCCGGAATCGAACCCGGTGTCTAGGACCTGGCCGGGGGACGCGTGGGGAGCCCCACCCACCCCAGACTAGGACGGTGTACACCCGGCCGGCCGCCACATGCCGCGGCTTCCTTTCATTTACAAAAGAAAGGAGTTGGGGGGGGGGAGCGGAATCTGTAACAAAAGGCAGACCCGTGTCCGCTTAGGTGCTTTCATCCCTCAAGAAAGGACAGATGTGCCCATTGTCCAGCTCTTGGCAGTTACAGCCGGGTCAGCGCTGAGCCCCAGCCCCAGGCGAAGACTGCTGACAATGGGACAGCCTCTCAGAGACTGGGTATCTGGATCTAGATATGGAGCGTGGGTGTGTGTTTGTGGGTGTGTGGCCTGCATTGGGCCAAACAGACTGTACGTTGGTTGGAGACACTGGGCTGGAGCCCACCAGCTGTGCGTCCACTGCACATGCTCCCAGCCCCCACCCCCGAGGCCCTGAGAGGGAGAGGCCAGGGCTGGCGTGATGATGTTCTGGTGATTATGTCCTCAGGACAATAGTTTGGGCTCAACAGTTTACCAGCTAAGAGCATGGACAGACCCATCTCCGTGGCCAGCTTCCACCAGAGCATGGTGAGAGATAGATAGGAGGGGATGAGAGGGGCTGGCCAAGCTAATGTCCTTGAGAACGTAGCCGTGTCCTGGGAACTGGCTAATCTGGCTAGTTCCCACTCTCCCCTCACCAAGACACTCCTGTGTCCCATCCAGATGTGTGTGAAGTACCTGGAATGGGGGGGGGGGGTGTTCTTCTCCCTCTGGGTTTTGTGTCTGCTCCGCTGATGAACGTTTAAGAATTGAGGACTCCCAGAGAGGAGAAGGCCTTGAGAAAATTACACTAGCATCAAGGGATCCAGAAAACAAATTATTTAAACTTGTGTCTGTATCTCTTCATATGCAAAAAAAAAAAAAAACCCACCATAAAGCGTATTATTTTTGTTTCTGTTTTCCTCTCTTGCAACATAAGCCAAACAAAGAGCTAAGCAGCTGACAGCCTTTGAGCTAAACTGTTGTGTCCCTGGGTGTCCCCCAGCTCACCGTCCTCTTTCTCCACCGCCCCCCCATGTTAATCCTGCCGAAATGATTGATTTGCCCTTATGACAACTCTCCTCCCCAAAGACAGTTTGTTAAAAGAAAAAAGAAAGTAAATACCACCAAGTGCACAAATTGTTCATGGTTTTCCCTTTGTGTCACTAATTAGGCTCTTGATCTGCAAACCCTCCTTCTTGGAGGCTTTCTCAGGAGGCCACCTGAGGAGGGCTGGGATCAGGTGAGCTCAACGTGCTCCTTGTCCCCAAGGGACCTTGTGAAGAGTCCGTGTCAGGATGGGCTCCTAAAGGAGGAGCCAAGGGAAAGAGGTGGATGGGTTTAGTAGGTGTTAGGCTAGGTCAGTTGAATGTGTCATCTTTTTTTTTTTTTTTTTTTTTTTGTAAAACATGGATTGAAAATGCAAGAGCAAGGTTTGTTTTGGTTTGCAGATCTCGCTCATCTGGGCATAGCTTGCTTTTCATCCTGGAGTTCTGGTAATTAACAGAGTTTGCAGTAATTTCCCTATCAGAGACAACGAATTCTTGAGCTCTTCCTGAGGATGGGTGATGTGTAGAATGGATGCTTTTCTCAATTGCTTTTCTCAATACTCACCTCGTTAAGGTGAGTGCATGGGGTGGGAAAGGTAGGGCAACGGGCTGGGATCGTTATTCTGCTTCCAGGTTGCCTTAGGAGGACGGGAATTTTCTGGAAAGGGGGTAATATCCCTTTCTTTCCCTCTCCTTCTCTCCCCCAGTCCAGTGCCCAGAACAGTGCCTGGCCCCCAGGTAATTCACTATGGATGAATGAAAGAATTGAAGTGCAAGGAACAAGTGCTTGAAATTTGGTAGGTCAAGGTGTGTGTGAGCGAGGGGATGGCTAATTGTTAAATGCTTAGATTTTCAGTAGCTGCACAGAATTTAAAGAAAAAAAGATAGTGTCAATCAACAACACATAATTATAAACGTATATGTGTGCTTTTCTAAGAATTACATGCATGTATATATTTTTGTATTAAAGAGGTGGAAAATAAGGCTACCAACTGGATGCTTATTACTGATCAACTTTCAGGCAGCAAGGATTTCAGGATGTTTATTTTGTAAATATCAGGAGAGGAGTCTGAGAGGTGGGGAAGGACAGGAGCAATCCCTTTGCTGGGGAGGTAGGAGCTTGCTGTTCAGCCGCCAGGGCTCAGAAAAGTAAAAAGGCGTCAGGCCATTTCTCCCCAGGCTGGCCACAAAGGTTCTCAGAGAGCCTCCCATCAGTCGTGCTGTGTGCTGTGTTTTTCTTTGTGGCCGGTAAGAGATCTCATAGCTTTCATGGGACCATTCCAAAGAAACGTTTCTAGTCCCTCTGAGCCATCAGATGTCCCCCTTCTCATCTGTGGGCCTCACAAACAGCAAAGGGATGGGGGTGGGGGTCAGGACACAGTCATCCACCCAGGGCATCTGGGAGAAGGGGGCCCCTCCCTGCCTCAGTAGTATCTCCCCATGTTTGTAGCCAGTCTAGGATTAGGGCAAGCAGCAAGTTATTAGGTATCTGGCCACAGTGGTGTATTTGGTAATTAGGGACGCAGGGTTTCGCTGTGTGTGCCTCCTGCCAAGCTCTCTCTCCTTCTGGACTCTGCCCACCTTGGGAGATCTCTTACTGAGACGATTGTCTTAAGAGAACATCAGGAATCTAGAAGGCAGTGGCCTGGTGTTTAGCTACTGAAAACCATTTTTTAAAATGAGTCAGGAATTTATTTTTGGAAGTGATGACCAATTATTCCAGCCCCCCTTTCAATGTTTAATCTTTTTATTCTATTTTATGTTTTATGATACTGTTCCGTAGGCACTGGGATTTCCCTTACAACCGCCCCAAACTCCCTCTCCTCTACGGATTTTCCCTATGTTATTGCAATAGTATAATCCTTCATTAGCAGTCATCAATGTTTAATCTTCTATTTATACTTTTCCTTCAACAGTTTGGTTAACTTTTTCCCCTCTTAGATTCTGGTTTTTTTTTTTTTCTGCTCATGAAAAATAAACATTTTAACTCTTCTAAATACTGTTTGCACTTTCCCTGTGTGGTCGCCTTACTGGACTCCCCAATTGTCAAATTTTCCCTGCAGAAGGGCTGTCCGTCCCTGAGGATCCCGGCCACTCTGTGTTCCAGGAGCTGCTCAGAACAACCTGCGCCGCGGAGGTCACCGGCCACTCTGCGCGCATCTCTGGTTGCTGCCCTGGCTAGGGACAAAAGCTAGCGACCCGCGCCCTCACCTAAATCAGCGAGCTTCTCCTGGGTTCTAGCCCTTTGCTTGACCGAGGACCTTGGGAGAGGTCACGCCCTGAGCACTGTGGAGGAAGGGAGAAGGGCAGCCTGAAGCTGTGGGGCAGAGATAGTGGTTCGGGAGTTCTCAAGTGGCTCTCTGACCACAAGCCCACTTTTGGGGCAGTGGGCCGCTTCTCTCCCAAGTTTTCAGCAGTTATGCTTGTTTGGTCTAGACTTCGTGCTCATTAAAATCTGCAACAAAACAGATCGGCCCAGGTCACAGGAATTTTCTCAATTTGAAGCGGCTCATCTTCGAATCTTCACGAGTGAGTGGTGACCAGGTTGGGACTGGAGGGATGGGGAGCTGGTTAGAAGGGGCTTTGTTCAAAGCGGTCCAAAGTGAGGACAGCTCAAAAGGGAGTGGGATGGAGTGGGACGAGCAAAAGGCGAGGCCAGCTAACGATGGTCTGGGGAGTGGGCAGGATCCCCCTCCACACCGCAATCGCCAGGAGCAGGAACGGCCCAAGGCGCGGGTTGTGGATCCCTGCGCTGCCGGCAGCTCCGGTTCCGCGGGGCCGGGAGCTGCCAGGTGGGCTCGGCGACCCCGGGAGCTCAACCCAGCCCACTCGGCCATCTCGCCC